GCAACTGAACCAGAGTAAGTACCGTTGACTTGGAACGAGGCAGAATGAAACCTGTGCGATTACTCGACTAAGTCGCCGTACCGAGGAAATCAGGAGCGAGTGCCAAAGCCACGTTGCCGTTCTTAACTCAACGGTGAGTTCAAATGCACGATCAGTGGAATGAGATCGAACGAAGACTAACCGTAATTGACATAGCTGATGAACGCCCTGCTGCGGATAATAAACACAAGATCCACTGAGTCACAACCGGTCAGTGAACTCGAAAGGGGGCTAAGGGAGGGAAAACATCAGCGAGATAATGGATGCGCTATATCTCGGAATTGGACTCGCCCCATATAACGGTCCAATAGGATCATCTGTGAGTAGGTATCGTTACTCCAGAACGATCGGGACACATAAATCGAATGAGGAGCTTACATAAACTGTCAGTTATATCCAGCGCAAAAGTATGGAAAAGGCGAACTAGCGTGCGACACAACCAGGTGGAGATGATAGTCCCAGGGAGTACCGAGACTCGTTTGGAATTAGAACTCAAGTGAGAAGGGCCGGAGCGTTGAGAATTGAAGTGCATGTACAATCGAGCAACGGGGTGGTGATACAACACCGAGATATGGATTTTGGGGGGGGGGGGGGGGCGGGGGGGTGGATAAGTGTGCACAATGCGGCGCCGGCGGCGGCAAGCTCTGGACTGGATCCAGTGCGCCCTTCCTCTCCTCTCCTCTCCGCTTTCCCCACTCCCCACACTCCTAAACACAGACTGGTCCACCCTTATCTCCATCGATTTCGGCGCGCTCCTCCCCGGTAAGCTGACCGAGAACGAGGTCGACGCCGCCGCGCTCGTCCCGCTGCTCATGGACCCGAATCGCAGCGCCGACATGGTGCTGCGCGAGATCTTCGATATGCTCACGCCGGCGCACAAGGGGAAGTGGATGAGGGGGGATAGTTTGTGTTCGGTGTGTTTGTCTAGGCTTGCGGGGGACCATTTGTGGAGGTGGGCGTATGAGCGGAAGGTCGAGGGTACGTTTGTTCGTTTTCTTTGTTGCGTTTTCTCCCTTTTTTCCGTTTGTTGTTGGAGGAAAAGGTGGTAACGCAGCGCGTTTTCAGACAGGTGGAAGCCGACACAGAACTGCTGGTACGGGTATAATTGCAAGACACAGGTGCACAAGATCGCGCATGCGAGGGATAAGAATGTGTGTTCTTTCGTCCTTACTCTCCCTCCTCCGTACTCCTCCTCCGTACTCTTCGTCTCCTGCTTATTCTCCATCTCACTCACCCCTCATCGGTCTTCGATAATCTCTCTCTTCTCTCTTCTCGCCTCGACCGCTGGTGGAAAATTCTGACGTGGCGCGAAATAGCATCTCGGCGTTCCTATTTGGTAGGACGGATGTACGATCTCTGTTGCGGTGAGATAATCCCGCGGATCAGAGGTTCATGAGGGGAAAGGGAGAGGTGGGAGAGGAGAGGAGAGGAGTTATCTTATCAGGTTCGAGTTCACGGTTTTAGCTTATACCGCTCGGGAATACCGGCAGTTAATCCTATGACCTTATTTATCGCTGAATATTACGTGGTACCGGAACGAGGATCAGCACCACGTGCTTGCTTTCCGCGTCCCGTGGTTTACGAGTAATTCGTGGTTCAAGAACGTGGTTTCTGAGTGTTTCGTGGTCGCGGAACGCACTTTTTGAGCACTTCCAAGGTCAATATCCGGGAAATCTGAGGTCTTTTCGACACTCCTCGCGGTTGTTCGTGGTTGAATTTGGCGGGCCCAAAGTTACAAGTTCCATTTGCGGAGCATACCGGCTCCACATCAGTCAACAATTGATATGCCCACCGGGCCGAATATCAATTTAATGGGCTTTCTTGCATCTTTCGCAAGATAATTCCCATCCTGCAGGACAATTCGCCTGTTACATCCGGCTCATGGTGTGACTGCGCAATCATAACCTAACTTAGTGGGGCACCCGTTGCACCCCACACAATGTCAAGGTCGCAAGTGACCTCTGCAAGTGAATTCAAACTGAAAAGGCCAGAAAAGGGTATCCTAAATGTTATCGAGTGACTACTTCCGCAGGAGCTACAAGGTGCAGGTGGGCCTGTTAAACCCAGTTCCAACCCAGCCTCCCGGGGGCCTTGCCGTGGACGGCACGAATCCGGCTGATCTCGGCTAGCCATTAACCCCGGAAACGGTCGGCTAACCACGACCACGGACCACACCGGAGTTTGGCCCGAATTTTTAGCGGCCAACATGCGGTTGAAACAGGGTGTATTGGTCGAATATTGGCTGAATATTGTCGTAAATATTAGTCCACCATTATTTGAACAATACACCCTGTATCCACCGAATATCAGGCAAGTTTTCAAGGCTTTTTCAATCTCAAAGGGCGAATTCGGACTTGTCGTTTTCTCCGTCACAGTCGCGCTTACATAACACCATCGCTCTTGCTTCCTTCCTCCATGCACGGATGACGCGGCGTCCACCTACGTCTAGCCGCTCACTCAATCTCCTCCAAACTCTGGCATTGTATTCTCTCTACCCTTCCCCTTCCCCACCCCCATTTTCTCGCCATTTCCTTACAATTTGCATCCGCCGTGAATCAATCCGACCCACGACCAAAGCGACCGTTTCGCGTGCTTCAAACGCGTCTCGACCCTTCAGCAGGCCAGCGGTATCTTCATCAGCGGTATATCGAGCAGATTCGGATGCTCCGAAGAGGATTTTGACAGAGAATTAGCTCTTCGGTGATGTCTAAGCTTCGGTAACTTGACGCCGGTCAAAGATGAGTTGCGTTCTCGGTGCGTGCCTCTTCTGCCTCACTGTATGGCCCTAATGGTGTGATCTTTCTTTCTCGCAACAGTTGTTGGATGAATCCATCTGGTGCGCAAGCTTCCGGTCTGAGCCCCCACACCTGACTTTGCCTTACATCCTTGCAGTCGTCGATCTTCCTCGCTCTTTTTCTTGTTCATCCTTAACCAACGGGAGTTCCCTGGTAAGCTTTCCTCATTCATATGATGCCGTTGCTGAACATCTTCACTTCAGCGGGCACCCGGCCGCTGTGACCTCCCCACACGCCTCACCTCCGAACCATTGCCAGGATATCTGCCTGGCTATCGTCCCGCAGGCTCGTCGCCCTTCGGAGAATGGGCGCCCGCTGCGACGCGTACGGCGTGGCGGACGTGGATGACGCACAGTAACTCGTGGCCCATCGCACTAAGTGTGGATGAGGTGCGTCCCTTCTATTTCTTTTTCTTCAATTTTCTTCTACGCGTCATCCTGGGATGTGGAACGTGGGTACAGCTGGACAACGTGGCGAAACACACGCAAGGGGTGCGGACGGGCGCAACAGATGTGGCGGGGGCCGATAGTTCGTCCCCTCTTTCACCGTATGATCCCAGCTAAATGCACGCGACAGCCCGGTCTTCAAACTGACGCTCTACACCGCGCAGCGGCCCCTCACGGAAAATTGTGACAAGTACGTGGCTTGATTGTGTATATACTGTCACGAACTGAGCGCTCCCTAGAGACGTCGACAACTAGAACGCATTTCGGTGTTGCTGCCCCCGATTATTGCAGATGTACGTCTTCCCGTCCCTTGTGTTCAGGCCTTGTCACTCACTATCACAACAGATCTTTGTCTTGGCCTCGCGCGCGCACACATTCCCGATGTAGACGGTGAGCGCTGCAACACCGAGATGGCCTTGGGTGGCTGCAAGTTGTTCCTCTGATGCTGGTCGGCTCAGCACCCACTGCCTGATCCTTGGGTCCTGTCGTAGCACGTAGCTATCCGTTGTCGTAGCAGTATTGCAATAAATTGGTTTTACATCTGGCATTCAATAGCAATCGAGCTTTTGCAATGGTCGAAAAATAGCGCCGACAATATGTGGCCAATATTTGGGCTAATATTCGGCCAACATCCGGCTGGGACAGCCTATAGTTCCGAAATATTAGCTGGACGGTATTTGGCCAACATCCGGCCAGAATTCGGCCAATACAGCTTATATTAGCTTAATTCTGGCCGCTAAAAATTCGGGCCAAACTCCGGTGCCACAGACCACGTCGTACGTGTAAGATCTACAGAACACATAATATTCAGTGAAAAAAGCTTTTATATTATCCTGACGAAATTTCCGCCACTCATCAACTTTCAACGTCTCTCGTGGGGAAACGCAGCATCAATGTGCCCATATCCAAGCTGAGTGTTCGAATTGGCCACGGCGTGGAAGTTCAAACACGGTACTTATTTCCATAGCATTCAACCAAAATGTCAACGGAGGTGAGTGGTCTATTGAGCTTGCAGGAGGATAAACCAAGCCCTTGCGAATCACGGCGATCACCCACCTTTCATTCGTCCGGAAACTGTCGCTTCTGTAAGCGGGATGCCAGTGGGTTCGATTCCCTCCAAGGGTATTAGTCAGCTCGCTCAATGGATTTTTTTCCTCCTTCTTTGCTTCGCACGTTGCCGTAGCAGCCTCCCCAACTTCTGAACATCCAACGCAGCGTCTTGGCTTCTGTGAGTCCCAGTTCGAGAAAATTCTATGTGCTAATACTCAATACTTAGCCAAATCTCTCGAGGCGGAATCAAGCTTGACTGCCCGCACTCGAATGCCTAGCAGAGGTAACCAAAATTTAACCCCTGCGGCATTACTTGGTTTGCAAAAATGCTGTACTGAGGCGGATTCAATCTTAAGGGAAAAAGCCCTCGTGAATCGCGGCGGTCTTCCGATATCCGTTGTATATTCGTTGTATATGGTGGTAATGAAAGGGCAGTGTGGGTTCGACTCCCACCGAGCGCATTTCTTGACGGCGGTGAACTTTTCTTTCTCTAGTCTCTGTTTTATAAGAGCCCTCGTCGCTTTGCGACAAGTTCAGTTTCACGCACGGCGGTCGTTGAAGATCTTTTAGTTTTCTTTTGCCTGGCCTTGGGCTGGCTGAGTTCCGAACATCTTGAAGTTTTCCACCGATGGAGTTGCACGAAGTCGAATTCAGTGCAAGGGTAGAATAAGCCTTTGTCGATCGTGGCGATCACCCACTTCAGATTCGGTCGATACGTCTTTCCCGTGGGAAGAGTGGGTTCGATTCCCACCGAGGGCATCGATAGGCTGTGTTGGCATAGATTTTTTTTTTTCCCTTGCCTTTGCGCCATTCACTGATTCTTACGTCGTGCTTCCCCAGTTTGAGGGATTCGGGCCTGTTTTTCGTTCCGCGATGCGGGGAGTGTTTGACATCGGACTTGGCTCCGAGCTGGCGTGGAAGGTTTCTCATTGTATCGAGATAAACGAATGGTATTGTGGGTACATATTGGTATTGAACGAAGGTAAGGCAAGCCCTTGCGGATCAAGGTGATCACCCACCGCACGTATCTTAGCCAGGACAAACTGACGTTGAGTGGAATAATAGGTTCGATTCCCAGCGAGGGCTTGCTCGGTTCGTGACTGATTTTTTCCTCTGTAATGTTCCGTGGGATTCACGCCCATCGACGGCCCCAGCGACCGACCACACTTGCACTGGAGGGACACCGAGGATGTATGTGCTCTTCATGAGTAGATGGATTCGTTCTTCGTATTTGTGTGGGTGAGTTTTCTGGTCTTCCTTCCTTCGTTTGCCCCCATCCCCCTTCTCTTGCATTTCTCCGTCCCTTGACTCGCTTCCCCCTATTCCCTCGTCGTACATCCACGCCGCACACATGGCGCTAATTCCGATTTCTTTCTTCCCTGCTGCCCTTCTTCGGAAAATACACACCTTCGTTTGCCGTCGCTTTCTACTCAAACATCTTGATCTTGACGCACAACTCGTACGGGATTTTCGCGCCTTGGTGTACCTCGAGCGCTGTACCTCGAGCGCTGGAGTTCAGCCGCTTTGCGATATGTCGACCCCACAATTCCATGGCTTTGGTTTCGCGCCTACAGACACCACCTGTTCCCTCTATGCAATGTTCGGCAGGTTGAACCTGTATTCCTTCGCTACCCGGCCCAATACCCGGGCCTCTATGGGATGGAGTTCATTCGCCTTGCGCAACTTACCAACCCCTTGCTGAGTACGGACGATGCACCCGCAAATCGTACCACTCGTGCCGTCGACCGTTCGTCGGGTTCGGGAGTTTGGCTCTCTCCAAGGGCATTAGTAAAAGCTGTTCTATTTTTGTTTCACCTCCCAATCCTCAACGAAGGCACAACTTTTGTCGAGCGTTCCTGTCTCCTCGTCGTTGACGGACATACAAAAACTAGGGAGCCGATGCAACGCACAATCTTCCTTCCGACATCCGATGCAATAACGTGTGTTTTCCCTCCTCGCTAAATCGGCATCCACGTATGCTGCAAAAATCCATACTCTTCAATCCCACGTCAATCACTGGTCGATCTCCCGCAATCTATTTCAATTAACTCCAATGATATGTGGGCTTTGGGCGTTCGATTCTCCCCGTGGGTGTTATTTAGCTGCGCTATTCTTTTTCTGTTCGTACTGGAGTGGGCTTGAGGTGACTTCAACAATTAGTTCGCAGAGTCCAGCACATCGCCGGCGGGTATTTCAAATTCTCAATGTGTTGCAAGATATCGTGGTCCAAAGTTCACCCTTCTTCATTCACACCTCGTATAAGTTATCCATCCTGCTACGATACAGCCATAAGCCCGTGTTGCTCACTCGCAGATTGCCCGCCGTGGTTTGACGATAACCGTGCCAGTGATTGTTGGCGGTTCGATTCTCCAGTGGGCATAGATGTTGAGCACTAAATGTGATTTTGTCTTTATTTGTACGTTCAAACACGGTTTAACTGAGCTGAAAGTTATTCCTGCACGACTTCCACGCTAGGATTCATTACCCATACCAAATCAACGAGTAGGCTGCATAGGCGGGGCAGAAAGGGTAGGGGGATGAATAGGGTAGGGGGATGAATCCAAGAATTGATTGAACGCCATGGCTCAGCAAGGCTCGCAAAGGAGAGACTCCAACAGGATGATGCAGAACGGAAGTCATCGAGACAACAGACACCTCGTTCTCACCTCGTGTCGTTCGCGTGATCGAACTTGCGTGACAAGTTGCAGTACTAGAGCTGTAAGAACACCAGGGCCAGTACTAATTCATCCCGCGAATTTGAGGATTGATGACTTCCCCGCGATGGGAGTGGGAACGGACGGGAAGAAACACAATGCACCGCCCTCGGTGTCCGAGCAGCAGGGTTCAACTAGGCTTGCGGTGGACTGCCTCGCGGAACGCAAGCCAAGGCGGAATAGAAAATCGGTCAATTGGACGAATCGCTAAGTAAGGACAAAAGAATACCGTGCCTGCTGGACTGAGTGGTCCTCTAGGAACTTTACATCAAGGCCCCGGTCGATCAATGTCTGCATGTGGGTTAGCAGGTTTTCTACTTCCAACGGCGGAACGGGGAACATGCGCAGGAAAGAAAGCTGACAAGTACGATCGGGCTGGCAGCGCGAGCGTATCATGGCGTTGAAGGCATCCCCTGAAAACGTAGCCTTGGTGGCGGCACCATATGTAGGCAAAAAAGGTGAGGTCAGGGCACGGATCGCTCGAAGCGCCTGTCAACGTGAGCGCGATCAGAACACGCGTGTTATCTTCTTCGTCCACCGAGGTGGCCTGTAAAACCAGGTTTTTCAGTGCTGGGGTGTGTTGCAGGAGGAGGATGACAGCCTCCGACGTAAGTGCGTCCCAGGGGAGGGTGTCTGTCATGACCAGGGTGGTTAAACGACAGGAGGAGCGTTGAATGAATGGGAGCAGCGGCGGCACTGCATCGCAAGATAGGTGCTCGAGGTGGGGCGCAGTGAGGTAAGTTAGGAAGTCGCCCTGCTCGGTGAACAGTCGGCGAAGATGGGGGAGCGTGACGACTGTGCCGTCAGGGATTTCCTGGTCGTCGTCCGCAAAACCGACAGCACAGTCAACGAGGCTTGAAGCTGCCCGTAAAATGGGGACAAGTTGTTGGACAGTACCGATTCCCCGATACTGTGTGATCTGTTCCCAGGGAATCGGCAGGGGCGGCGAAAAGCGACTGAAAGTGGCAGTGGTGAGAAGGACTTGGCGTAGGTTTGGCGCAATGGAAAATATGTCCAACACAACAGAGTCATCATCTTCTTCAAGAGCATCGTCGTCAATTTCCAAGGTGTGCAAATGAGCCAGTCGCCCTTTGGCAGGTTGCATCAACCCCAGTAGTGCATTACTGTCGCCACAAATGCGGAAGGATCGCCACCGGTTGGAATGAGGGAGGAGAGCTTCCATGAATGAAGAGGCATGTTCTTCGTCGACCATCCACTCGAAATCCACATGCAGATGTGCATTGGCAGACCGCATGAGCTGGGCCTGGACCATGGGTAGCGGTGAAAAATCTTCGCACGGAGAACCGTCGGTGTGGAAGACAGTAATGGAGCTCCAAAGAGATGGAAGGCCAAGAGCAATTTCCCTCCATATCCCAGAAATTCGCCCCAGATACCAAGGCGCACTACCCGGGGGATGTCCAGCGACACGCCTGCCGAGGGGCAAAGTCCAAGAAAATATCTCGCCAACAATCTCCGGTGGTACGCGACGAATAGGCGACAAAACAGCAGTGCACTGCTGAACACGTCTAGCCAAATGATGTCGCTCGCATGTGAGTCGATCGAGAGTGGCCTTCATGTCCTGAATCCGGTTATCGAGGGAATCTATCCTCCGCCGACCGTTCCTGGTAAACTCGGCGAGGGCGGTTACCTCAGCGTCCACGGGTGGATCGTTGGTTCGAAGCAAATGGGGAAAGAAAGGGAAAGAAAGACGCGAAGTCGCATCGCGATCTCTAGGATCTGTTCCACAGCTCCAGCAGGTCATGCTAGTGTACCGTTGGTCAGTCTCATTAGTAATAGTTGAGGAGTGTACTTACTGGCAATTTCAAGCAAAGAAACTCTCGTCAATCGAGTGGGGCAGTCGGCCGTGAGATGGTGGTCGTTGTGAGAAAAGACTTTGGTGTTATGTCCTGACAATTATTTGAAAAAAAGTTTTTTCAAAAAGTCGAGGGCCGGGGGAAGGTAGGTGCTCGGGGTGGCCGACCTGCAAATGGACCGTTAGCTTAGCGGTTGTTCACGTCACATACTTTCTGAGTCAGCGCTCTCATGCCCGCGTGTTCGGGCCCCAAGGCTGCCTTTCTTTTTGGTTTTTGCTCCTTCCTCGCACTCCCGTTCCACTTGGTGTCTCAAGATCTCAATGCGCAACATATGGACAGCAAGCTCAACGGCCACATCAACGCCGCCTGGAACAATAGAATCGTGATGAAGGACACCCAGGCGGCGCAACTTACATCCGCTTTCCTAATCTTCCTTCAAAATCAGGCGTAGCATCTCAAGATCTTACTCGAGGATGAGCAGGGGTACAGGTGTGTGTATATTTCATGCTTCATGTGCCAAAGTACTTACACAGAGTTCATTTACCTCGACCTCGACAGTTCAATGCCTCAAAATCCGACTTTCCCTTGCTCTTGCACACCGTGCACTTCTTTGGTGCTCTCGGTCTATTCCCAGAGCTGCCGCCAGTGTTTGCATATGTTGGCGGCTGCAGAACCGGGCCCTGATTGCTTCCTTCGAGCCCTCCTGCAAAGCGTCGAGCCACTTGATGGTGTCGTTGACAGCGCCGTCAAGCTTTGACTCGTCGCGAGTGTTGACTTTGTCGAACATTTTCTAGTCGGTGCGCAAAGACAACGGAGGGCGCCGAGGTTGGAGGAGAGATCTATCGAAGGTTGGAGGAGAGATCTATCGAGTAGAGTCAGCCAGTCGCTCGGGAAAAAAGCAGAAGATAAGAACATACCCTTCTTGTTCTTGCGCTTGAATTCCTGCGCAATGTGGTTGACAAGATGGTTGTCAAATTCCTCACCACCCAGGCGAGAGTCACCAGCGGTGGCCTTGACCTCGAAGATACCCTCCTCGATGGTGAGGAGGGACACATCGACGGTTCCGCCACCGAGATCGAAGATGAGGACATTACACTCGCCGGTGACCTTCTTGTTGAGACCGTAAGCGATGGCGGCGGCAGTGGGTTCGTTGACGATTCGTAGGACGTTCATGCCGGAGATGGTGCCGACCTCCTTGGTGGCCTGACACTGCGAGGCGTTGAAATAGGCG